GACAGGTGGTGCGGGAATGCCTTGTTTCTACCTTGCTGTGTTTGCCCTGCGGGTTTTAGGGGAAGGCTCTTGGCGAGCCGCAGCAGGAGGGGCTGCACGGAGCTGGGAAACAGCGCGAGCACCCACAGCGAGAGGGTCCGTGGGGTGGAGGATGGAAAGGGCAAGGTTAGACATCCGGAGACAGCGTGCCCAGTGCTTCCCCACGCCCCAGAAACTGTCCTCCCCAGCCTGGGTCTGCCCCGGCCGAGGCTTCACTCGCCCCAGGAGCTGAACGCGCTCGTTGGCGCGGGCTCAGGGATGCTGCTCACGTTTCACAATCTGAATGGTATCTTTTTGCAATCCAATTAGTTCCCAGGCACCAGAATAATGGCAGGTCCCCCTGCCAAGATTAATGACTCGGGGGCAAAATCCAGAACAGCTCAAATGCCTGTGAGCGAGAGACGGCTATTTATAACGGGCGGCGCAGAGCACGAGGCTCGCGGTCCGGCGCCGCCTCCTCTGCCCCGCGCCGCGCCACGGCAGCGGGTGCAAGGCCACGTTGGCGTAACCCGACCCATGTGCCGCAGCAGGATCGCATCCATTTATGGCTCCGGCCCCGCTCACGCTGTGTCTGGGACAGGGCTCGGGCGGGCACGGCTTCCTGGGACGTCAGCGCCGCCGGGGAACAGTGCGCTCCGATCTCGGAGTGAAAAGGGAGAGGAGACGGTGCCGTGACCTGACCTGCCCTCGTGCTGCTGCCCCAGGGTGAGCCAAGGTGGCCAGGCAGTGGGACCTCCCCAGGCTGCAGGACTTTTGCAGGCAGCTGTGCTTGCACCGTGGCACTGTCCAAAAGCAGCTGTAGGACACGGAGGTCCCCTCTGCTCGGTGGTGTTCCCGTAACCTACCAGGCTGTCCCGCTGGGCTCTGCACCTCTCGGGGAGAAGCAGTCCCAAACAGGTCCTCGCCGTGCTGCTGGGACACAGCTCTTCTCCAGGGCTGTGCTCGCCATCCTCCGCACCTCCGGCCATCCCAATGCGTCAGAGGACACTGCAAATCCACGAGGAGATGGACAGCAAACCTTAACAGCCGTCCTCCACCTTGCAGCTCCGCTGTGGGTGACCGGCGGAGGGTCCCCGTGCTGGAGGGCCGTGCTGCAGCTCTGCCTCTCCCCTGGATGCCCCGCTGCTCTCCGCGCAGCAGCGCACAGCCCTGAGCTGCTCGTCGCCGGCAGGGCTCGAGGCTCACCGGGGGCTTGTTTGCAGGAAGCAGCGGTTTCCGAGAGGTTGCAGCCGGCTCATTAGCAGTCCCTCATGAGCAATCCCGCCTGTGCTGTCAGGAGCAAACACGGGCCTCTGGCCTGGCTGTGCACTTGCGCTGATCCGCGCGACTCCCGTTGCCCTCTGTGGGTTTGCTTTGTGGCTCTGCAAGTGAGTAAGGGCTCGCTCCCTTCGCACACGGGACTTGGTGACTTTGAGGTTTCGCAGCGCTCGCTGGAATATAAATGAATCAGAGACACAAGCTGGGTGGCCAAGTGCGGGGGGGG